GCTTTATAGATATTCTTTAATCTTCACAACAATCTCCCTAAAATGTTTTCTCCCTACTTAATTGATGAGAAAATCAAGATTTACTGTATCCAGAATATATAAAGAAACTCCTACGTGGCAATCTCTTGTAATAGATAGGGTGTCCCCCCAAAATGTATACTCTTTACAGCTGATAGCTCAATAGAAGTTTCTTTTCAGATTTAACCATTGGAATTAGTAATTATTCAAAGTGTATATACATTTTTGGGACACTGTATACATATATCAAACTATAATGTACACTTAAAACTAATACAATATTATATGTCAATTGTATCTCAATTAAAAACTCCTACAGATTCATTTTTTTAAAGAAAAGACAAACTAATAGAAAATAGCTAGAGATATAAACAATACACAAAAGATATTAGAAACACAGACATGTGACAAGATCAACATTCTGCATTAAGGGAAATGCAAACAAAATCACAGAGATAAGGCTACACACCCACCAGAATGGCTAAAATTTAAGGATAACAATTCTAAGGATTGGTAAAAATATTCCAGGCAATAAATTTAGCATGAGTTAAGGCAAGAGTATAGAAGCCTGAACAAATGAGAGTTCAGCTTGGGTTGGGCAGAGAGGCGAATGATGGAAGTATTCTGGAAGAGTAGTTAGGAATCAGATCTGGAGGACTTCTGAGGCCAAGACAAGGACTTTAACCTATAAATGATTAGCAAAGCAACCAGGATATGGATGGCACAATTTAACTGAGTCCTAGAGTATATAAAAGGCTGCTTTGTATGAATGTTCCAAGGGGATTCAACAAAGAAACTAAAACACTTTCTTTCTACTACCCTGCAAAAAACCTCTCTATTCTCCACAATGTTTTACCCTCCCTGTTCAATTACAGTCTTCCAAAATCCCCAGCTGCACTTTCCAGCCTAGTCAGGCTTTCTTTGCCTTCACTCACCACCAGGTGAACTCTTTCAAGATCACAGGCAGCACTGAGCTTTCACTCAAGAACAGCCTATCACCTGACATGCTCTTCTGCTTCCCCCAGGCCTCTCAAGTAGGACCTGTTTTATGCCCTTTTCTGCAACTTCTTTCCCTTACCACTTTTTATGGTCCATATGTATAGATATCCCAAGTTTTTGTTTTGTTTTACAGGCAGTACACACTCAAATGAACTAGTCTTTCTTAATAGACATTTAGATTATTTCTAGTTTTTATTGTTGCAATCTATAGTGCATATCTTTGATCATGATATTTCTGCATATTTATGCGAGTTTATGAGGATACATTCCAGAAATGGAATTGTTGGGTCGAAGGGTATGTTTGCATTTCTGTTATCAAGAGCAACTAACAACCAGTTAGTGGCTGTCCTTTGATACTGGGTGTGTGGGTATACAAAGAGAAAGATATACTTGCTTCTGTTTAAGAGCTTCCAGTCTCATTGGAAAGTCAAGAACAAAGCAAGGATACTTACTAGTTAGATGTTGAATAATGTATTATAGAACCCACATAGAACTATGGAGACTGGGGGACAGAGATGAGGACAGGCTGGAGTAGGCAAAGAAATCATGGGACTGACAGACACTAACTGGGCCTCCAAAATAGCACCGGATTTAAATGGTGAGAGGCCTAGGTCAGCGGTCGGCAAACTGCGGCCCCTTGAGTGTGGCTCTTCCACAAAATACCACGTGCGGGCGCGCACGTACAGTGTGATTGAAACTTTGTGGCCACACTCAAGGGGCCAAAGAGCCGCATGTGGCTCGCGAGCCGCAGTTTGCCGACCACTAGCCTAGGGGAAGCAGAAGAGCATATCAGGTGATGGGCTGACCTTGTGCTTTTCTAAGTTTTAGAGTGATAATCTCTGGTAACTGCGATTTAGAATGATAATTTCTGGTAGACTTTTAAATTTAGGAACATTTCTATTTTGTTTGAAAAAAATTAAACAGAGTACATAATGTTGGTAATAAAAATATTTCAATATTTTCACTCACTGCCCCCCCATTTTTATTTACAAAGCAATTTATAATATGAATCCACTTTCTTTAAAACAAGAGTAATAATATGCTGGAATGTATGTGTCAAAACAATATCTAGAACATATGCCAACTGCTAGTAATGGTTATTCTTACAAGAGGAATTACGAGAGACTTCACATCCTGGGTTGTTTTTCTTTAAATAATAAGCACTTACTTTAGTTATAAAAACAAAAAAAAATTATTTTAAATCTTTCTCTCTGAGCTAGTGATCATTCCAAAGAGAGAAGCATTTTGGTCCCCCCAGCAATTTGCTATTCTGAAGAGAACAAGCTTGATTTTAATTGTTGGAGTGCCCAGGATACTAAATCTAAGAAAACATTACAGGTAAGTCATACCTACAAAATAGTTCACAGAAGTATTAACAGAAAAACTACCTACTTCTCTGCTACATAAATATTAAAAGTCTGTCTGATGAAGAGAACCCCGCTAATGTAAAGTTAACCTCTAGCATTTACTGAATTACTGTGTACATATGTTTCCCGTTAGAAAAGACAGAAAGGAGGGATGAGAACCACTAAATCACACAGAGCCCCAAAGGAGGGCTGATGTCTCAGGGGACCTGTGCTTCACACAGGGTGTCACAGTTGTGATGTACAGGCCCTACATGCCCCTCCAGTGCTGTTCTTACTGACTTCGGAGCCGGGCCTTCTCCAACAGCCTGTGATAAACACAGATGGAGCCAACTGCCTGTCTTTCCTGCAGGATATTGCTCCACATCTCTTCCATCTCAGCACTGATCCTGAGATTCAACTACCCCTTTCTTTTCTGGTTAGTCTTACAGCTGAATATAACAGCTTATCACTATTGACGCCAAGTGATTTACCTGCATTACAACTCGTTCATACAATAACCCTGCCAACTATTCCTATTTTACAGAAGAAACTGAAATACAGTTGATTCCGGTATCCACATTCAAAGATTCAACCAACTGCAGGTCAAATTTGTTATTCTGAAGAGAACAATATTCAGGGGGAAAAAAGTTGTGTCAGAACTCACTACATAGTCTTTTCCTTTCTTGGCATTCTCTAAAAAACACAGTATAACAACTACTGACATTGCATTGGGTATTATAAGTAATCTAGAACTGATTTCAAGTATAGGAGAGGACAAATACGATACCATTTCATATAGGGGACTTGATTTCGATATCTGGGGGTTGGGGAGTTCTAGAGCCAATCTATCTGGGATACGAGGGACAACTGTACAAAGACGGATAACTAATAAGTGGCAAAGCTAGGATTTCAACTCAGAGATTCTGATTCCTCGATCCCAACTTTACTATGCAGCACGCATCTCTCTATCACATACTTCTTTCAACCTAGACAACACCAGAAAACTTCAGTCAGCCTAAGTACTTAGGTTTGAGGAACAAATCTAAAAATCAATAGGACACCAGGGTCCAATGTTTACTCTTGGAAATGCTGTTCCTCTGGCCAACACTGGGTAACTGAGACCTCTGAAATGTAATTTGCAAAATGTTTGTTTGCTAATGCTTAACTTCTGAAAAGCTGTTTAATGTCTAAACACCCAACCTCTTAACCACATCAAATCAAATATATCTGGATTCAGATTCTAGTTCTGTCACTGGTTCCTTCACCGGAAAGTAAGATGTAAAAGTGTATGTAAGCACCTCAGCACAGGGAATGACTGGAGGGGAGGAATCAGTGTCCCCTATGGTTATTACTATCATCCTTTGATTGTTTTAGTATCATTTCTCCCAGGATGAGGAAAAACTGACAAGTTCAAATCAAATTCAATACCTTAAACCAGGGATTTTCAACCGACGTGCCAATTTTTAAAACATGCAATACTTGATTATATAGTCAGGGGCTATATATAGCCTTTTCCCTTAGAATATTGTCAAGTAAAAAAATGACAACAGCCAACGCAACAATAGCCATTTGGTGTGAATGCATCAAAATTATACTTTTTTTTTGGTCAGATCGGCAAAAAATATATTTTTGGTGTTCCGCAGAATTTTAGTAATTAGTTTATATGTGCCTTGAGAAGAAACAAAACCCATGAATTCATGTTTACTGAGAACAACTTTAAACATTAAAAAATGATGCACTCCGTTTGAAGTATGAAACCGATAAAGTAGAGGAGTTCTACACAACACAAACAATAACTGGTAAATAAAAAATGTTTAATATTGCAAAATGGCCGAAACCGGTTTGGCTCAGTGGATAGAGCGTCGGCCTGCGGACTGAGAGGTCCCAGGTTCGATTCCGGTCAAGGGCATGTACCTGGGTTGCGGGCACATCCCCAGTGGGAGATGTGCAGGAAGGCAGCTGATCGATGTTTCTCTCTCATCGATGTTTCTAACTCTCTATCCCTCTCCCTTCCTCTCTGTAAAAAATCAATAAAATATTTTTTTAAAAAATAATAATAATATTGCAAAATGACCACACCAGCCAATTACACTGAGAATGACCGCTACTGACAACCAGCTTCAATGCATTCCTTCCCTCCATTTCACGTGCATCACATAATCTGAAACTTTAAAGTAACAAAAACCCTTAAGTGAGTGTTTTATCTTTGGAACATTTTACACAGCCACCAGGTCGTCTTTTGTTGGGTCATCTCGGGCACTTGGCAGAATGGACGGGCCATAACGACTGATCTCCCCCCTTTGATGCCTAAGGGTCCGCGGTGTCGGGTCAGTTCACAGGTGAGAGAGCCTATCAGCTAACAAGCTGCCCTTCACCCCTCCCGGGGGGGGGGGGGGCAGATGGGGGGGAAAGCATACAAGGTGTCAAGTCCTTTGGCCTCCCCAACCCTGCTTGGCCAAGAACAAGGAAACTGGGGCGCGGGCGAGGGTGGGCAGGGCCCAGGGGCGCAGAGCTAGGAAGCCCCAGGCAGACGGGAAGCTGCGCTGGGTCCAGCCCGAGGCCAGTCCCTTTCACCCCTGCAGGGCTCTGGGCAGAGCCCGCCAATGGCGCCAGGAAACGGGGAAAGACATACAGTACCAGTGGGAAGCAGGGGTTCCAACGGGGTAAAGGCATGCTCCATATTGGATGGCTGGGCTCTGCATTGAAAAAAATTAAGACGCCACGTTAGAATGTCTATCTAAATTAAACCGCACGCGGAATCGCCAGGGCATGTGGTCGCTTTAACCCGCGCCCCGGCGCGTCGAGCTCAGGGCGGACAGACCGGGGGTTAAGCGGGCCGCCGTGCGGGAGGGACGCGGGAGGCCGGAACCCTGCGGGTCTCTGAGATCGCTTGGGGCGCACACGCGCGCCCGCCGCCATCCGGGGACTGGAGGAGCGAGGGGCGGCCGCCCCCTCCCCGCGCTCGCCACCCCATTCCCGGGCCCGCGCGCCGAGGACGCGGGCGACGCGCCGGCGGCAGTCGCACTTACACAATGGCGGGTGGAGCCACCGGCGGCGGAGCGCTGGCTGCGGAGCGAGGGCATCGACCGCTCGGCGATCGGCTGAGGCGCCTCCGGCGGCGCGTGGCCGACGCTCGCGGGTTTAAGTAAGGGGCGCGCGAGGGAGCCACGCCCCCTTCCGGGAGGCCGCGGCGTCGGGAGGCGCGCGCCCGGCCGGGACTGCGCGTGCCTGGCGGTGCCTGAGCCCCACTGCCCGCCGTCTGCTATCGCCAGCGCAGCCCTCGGTCATCATAGTTTCATTTGGAAGAAACGTTAAGCCACCCACTTGCAGCCCGTGAAGAGGAATTCTGTTGCCAGGCAGCTTTTTTTTTTTTACACGACTGAGCAAGCCTAACCGCCAGAACAGTTCTCTTACTTTGGGCAAAAATCCCCTCCTGCTGTCCCACCACTGCCCCCAGGACCCTCACCTGCGGGAGGGATTCCTGGCCCTCAGAATCGTCTTAAATGTATTTGAACAGTTATGCTTCCCTGGCTTTCTTTACCCTTTCTCGGCTAAATGCAATTTGCATAAGGTTCTTACAACAGGGTTTTCAGACGCGACCCTGACATTGCTTCGTTGCTTACAAATCGTGGTCCCAGGAACTGGTGCGACCTGCGCAAGCCTCAGCACCTAACAAGCGTGCAAATCTCTCCTCTGAGAAACCTGAAGAGACCTGCATGACTACTATTAGCATCGAGTCTGTCCCCAGGATGACCACAGACACACACAGAGCCCCCCGCCGCACCCCCCCCCCCCCCCCCCAAAACACACACCTATTAAAGTGCCTGGCTGAGAACTCTGGTATGCCAGGAGAAATTACTCTTTAGTCAACACCTGATGGTAGGCTACTGACCTCCCAAATGGCTTACAATTGTGAATATGTATCTCTAACAACTCAGAGCCTCATGCTCAAGGACTTGAATGCCATTCCTTTGAAATGTAATCATCAGAAAGGATAGGCTCTCTGCCTCCCATCTTGGACAATAGAATCCTTACTTTCAAAGGTGCTAGCTGGCGAAGGTCTGGCCTCATGGCATTCACTCTGACTAACTCTGTAATTTTTCACTTCTCTGACACTACCTACTGAGAATCTTCCCCCATCTTCCCCTTCCTTATTCTCCCTGCGAAATGCCCCCATCAGCTCTGCACAAATGAAATGGAGCTCAGCTTTCCCCTGCTGTCAGCAGTTACTAAACTTACTCTGTTTTCTCTGCTTGTTTAAAGATAAACTCAGCTGTGTTTAACTTTACCTCTGGTCACAATGTCCCAAGAGTGATTAACCACGGGAGAGTAGTCATTGCCAACGCTCATTACCATTTTTGTAGTGGCCACATCAAAGCAGCGGTTCTCAACCTGCGGGTCGCGAACAATGAAAATACATCCTGCATATCAGATATTTACATTACGATTCATAACAGTAGCAAAATTACAGTTATGAAGTAGCAACGAAAATAATTTTATGGTTGGGGGTCACCACAACATGAGGAACTGTATTAAAGGGCCGTGGCATTAGGAAGGTTGAGAACCACTGATAGAACTTCCAGGCATTTTTTTCACTATTAAGTATATACCTAGCTTATACTCAATTGTAGACCAAAATACTAGGGACTTCAAGTTTATATTTGTAAAGTGAAATAGTATGAGCTTGCGATAACAGTTGCATCAGGCCATTTCAACCATGTCACCTACCACTTGCAGGACATTCCAGTTCTACCTCAGTATCCTCCGGTGTAAAATGGAAACAATGTTGTCAACTTTGAAAGGGTTCTGCAAGGAGCAAATAACTTGGTTGACAAACACCTCAGGTGCCTAGTACACCTAGGTTTGTAACAGATGTCCCTCTCCAGCAATATGGTACCCACATATCCCTTGCTGATGGCACTGTTTACATTTGCAGCACACATCCTTGCAGTGTGTTTTATGTGTACGCATCTACATCAAGTTTCTCCCAAAGTCACAAAGAAGAAAAAGGAAATCTTTTTAAAAAAAAAAAAACTAGAACAAATTTATGAAATCCACATGTTTAGACATGCCAGTAGTAAAACTAAATGGCAACAAACCAGAGGTGGAGGGAGAATATTTGCACATGTACCAGACAAGGGCTTGCTAGCTTTTATCATATGAAGAACTGCAAATCCATCAGTAAAAGGCAAAGAAAAAACAAACAGTAAAATGATGACTGAGGATACACACAAGCAAATTACAGAATATATTCAAATGGCAAATAAACATGTGGAAAACACGCCATCAATAAGAAGCAGGTGTGAACAATGAGATAAATTTACTTGCCAGCTTGGGAACAATTTTTAAGTAATAAAACTTACATTGATTAAGCAATCATTATGTTTCAGTCACAGTGTTAAGTAAGGTCTTTTATATTTTATTTAATTACCCTAAAATTCAGGTTCTAGAAAAACGAAGATCAAATTTTAATTGTTTCCCTTTGAACCCTCACTCTCTAGCACAATTGCTGGTAAAGAGCAAACAACCAATGAGTGCATACTGAATAGTCATAATGAAATTGATTGCAAACTCCTGCAGGTCTCCTCACAGCTGGCTCATCTATCAAGCCTCAGCACAAAACCACCTTCCTTCCCCTGGTTACTCTTTATCTCACCTAGGATTGCTTATTTGTTTTCCTGCAAAGCAATACTCACAATCTATAGTTATTAACTTAGTCTTTTACTTGCTTCTCTACTGGAGTTCCACTCCCTAAGAACAGGAACATACTTGTTTTGTTTATTGCTATTTCTCCAGCCAAACAGGATGCCTGGCTCATGGTAGGAGTTCAAGAAATATTTAAGTGGATTAATAAATGGTGGGGGAAATGGAAATTTATAGTATATCTCAGCAGGAATTATTAAAAAGATTAAGTCAATATGTCCTCATGTGAAAAAAGTGTCCATGATGAAGTAAATTTAATAAATGCAAATGGTAAAATAGAGAGAATTGTTCAAAGTGATCTCTGAGAAAAGGAATGGAGTGTGTAGGAGGCAGTAGGCTGAGGGAAATACTACTTTTTTTTTCACACACATTTTATTTTGTCACCTTAATATTTTTGCAATAGGCATATTGTATAAATGAAAGTGTGCAAAAATATATATTAAAAGAAAATTATTGCATCATTATTGTTAATATTTGACATATTTGGGAGTTGGGGGGCTTCCAGAGAAAGCAGTGCACATGCACAGTATCAAGAGTAGAGATTCTACAGCTTCAACCAAATTTCCAGTGGATTCTTTGACCTCCAAAAGTTGCACAGGTTAGGAAGGAGCTGCTGCCAGTGGATTATATGTTTATTTTTCCCCCAGGATACAAAGATAGCTATCCCACCTCCTTCACCAATTACCTTCCACTCTGCCCCCATCTTCCTGAACTGGGTGGATATCAGAATATAAGGTATATGGCTGCAAAAGATTTGATAGTAAAATTGTTCTGCAGTGAAATCACCTTGGAAAATTCTGCACCTTTTCACCCATCCCCTTAGAGCAGTGGTTCTCAACCTTGGCAGCACATTAGAATCACCTGGGAATCTTTTTAAAAATATATATTTTATTGATTTTTCACAGAGCGGAAGGGAGAGGGATAGAGAGCTAGAAACATCAATGAGAGAGAAACATCGATCAGCTGCCTCCTGCACACCTCCTACTGGGGATGTGCCCGCAACCAAGGTACATGCCCTTGGCCAGAATCGAACCTGGGACCCTATAGTCCGCAGGCCGACGCTCTATTCACTGAGCCAAACCGGTTGGGGCTGGGAATCTTTTTAAAATCCTGATTTCTGGGCCTCATCCTCCGGAAATTCTGTTTCTTTGTTACTAATGTTGTGGCCCCACCCCATAACAAAGAAACAGAATTTCCGGAGGATGAGGCCCAGTAATCAGGATTTTAAAAAGATTCCCAGGTGATTCTAATGTGCAGCCAAGGTTGAGAACCACTGCCGTAGAGATTTATAACACGTGATCTATCTTTAAACATCTCATGAAGACCAGAAGTAAGGAACCTGTTTATCTCTAAAACCAGACTTTCTCAAAGACATTGGAGCATGCAACACTGTTTTTTGTTTTGTTTTGTTTTGTTTGGGGGTGGTGGTGGCACATCTTTTAAAATTTTACAGTGCAGTATTGTCCCAAACAACTGGTGAGGAAAAGATAGGAGACTCTGACCCCAGGTGCCATCTCCTCTTTGCTGCTACCGCTGTTCTACTTACTGCTGCCACTAAGTATTCTTGGAGTTTCCAGTCTTTGACTGTTAGGTCATGGATTTCTGCATTGTTTTTAGAAAATCAAATCATTCTCTCAACTTCCAATGCATATCTTATTATCATCTCTTTACAGCTCAGGCAGTAATTCTAGCCATCTAGGATATCTGCACTTAAGTCTTTCACCACTACCTCTGATTCAAGTGGCCAAACCTGAAGTCACTAATTTATTTCTCTTCCTAGATACTCCATTTCTCTCCTTGGTATCATTATTCTTTTGCATTCCTTGATACATAACTTCAATATGCCTCTTCTTTCATCCCATAAACTCAGCAAGTTGACAGCTCTTATTCTGTTGATCACTTATTCCAGTCTGTTGAGGTCAATTTGGATCAAGGTTCAATCATCCTTGTCATTTCCTCTCCGCCATCAATCAAAATTCTCATTATTTTAAAGCCTATCTAAAGTATCATCTTCCTTGAAATTCATTTAAGCCCCTCACAATTAATCTCATTTTGCTCTGTGACCTCATTATATATTTTAATAGCCCTTTCCACAGTCTGACACACAATAGTTCTCCCCTTTTCTAGGGGTACATGTTCCAAGATCCCCCAAAAACCGAGGAGAGTACCAAACTATCTATGTACATACCTATAGATGCATACATACACACATACATACATAATGAAGTTTAATTTATAAATTAGGCACAGTAAGAGGTTAACAACTAATAATAAAATAGAACAGTTATTACAATCTACTGAATAAAAGTTATGTGACTATGGACCTGAAAATTAAGGAGACAATTTTATTCAGGCTATAGAATAAAGAGCATACCCTGGGTCCTAAGATTTAGGATCTCCACAATGTGGTTTTGCTTTAGATGTTTATAGGGACGCATAGAAGAGTCTCAGGTGGGGTGACTTA